CCTGGGCCCCCTGCCCTGCGGGGAGGAAGGTCTCCTAGTGGCTGCTCATCTTTGGAGTCAGGGACCCCCCCGGTGCTTGCTGGGCTGTGTTACTGGTGCGGGGAGAGGTGGGTGATGGTTTCTAAGCTTGGGGCTGGCTGAGCACCATAGATTCAGGAGAAGTTTGGAAGATCACCTGGGGCTGTCACCACTCCCTGCCTTCCTCCCTTGGCATGGTCACCCAGGCAGAAAACAATGTGAGTCTCCAACCCAGGGGGAGGGAGTGATTAAGAACCCTGGAACCGGACAGCCGGGGTCCAAAAAAACAAAAGCGAAATGCTCTATGCCTCAGTTTCCCCACCTGATAGACTGACTAGGAGAATTACATGGGTTCATTCCTCTAAAGTCATTTTTAAAGGGTTGGGTGGGTAAAATGACTGTCTAGATGCCAGCTGTCACTGCTGAGCGGGTCTGTGTCTTGGGGTCTCCCTTTTCCCTATCAGAACATGGGGAGCCTCACAACGTCCTTCTCTCATCTGCATCTTGGACTTGGGATAAGAAGTAGGTCACTGTTCCCATCAGGGGGGTAGGAAATAGAATACTAGGCACCTCTGGTTGCCTCTCGAACGTCCTGGGAACGTTGGTGTAGCTGGCCACCCACTGCAACTCGGGGCCAAGGGCAGGCAGGTGTTTGGGGACTGCTTCCTGAACCAGCCAGAGCTGGGGCATTGGGGGGCAGGCCCGCCAGGGTGCTCACAGCCTTTGCCTCCTTGCTGAAGACACAAAAGTCTGGTCTGCCTACCTGAGATGATGGTGGTCTCCAGGTCAGCAGAGGCTGTTAATTAAATGTTAAGGTAATAGATAACTTTACTTACCCCAATATATCAAAAATATTGCCATTTCAACATGCTACCTGGGAAACAATTACTAGCGAACCATTTTTACATTTTTTTTTCCTCACTCAATCTTTACAACACAGGGTGGATTTTACCAGTGAAGTACATCTCAATTTGGACACCAAAGTTTTCATTAGCGATACTCCATCTGTATTTAGATGTTAACTTTTCTCCCACGTCATTAAGAACCGTTTATAGCCAGGCACGGGGGCACTCACCTGTAATCCCAGCAGCTCAGGAGGATCACAAGTTCAAGACCAGCCTCAGAAACTTGGCAAGGTCCTAAACAATCTGTCTCAAAATAAATAAATAAATAAATAAATAACATGGGCTGGGATGTGGCTCAGTGGCTAAGCACTTCTGGGCTCAATCACAGGGTACTAAAATAAAGGAACTCTTTATAGTTTTAATGTGCTGTTTCCTAACCAATCCTCTAGTCATTTTTAGACAATTTTCTTATCTCCAGGTCTGGGCTATTGTTTGGTGGCTTGTTTTGGATTTTGTTGTTTTACTATGAGAAACAACACGGCCGGAAGCTTTTGTCTCCAAAGCAAAGTGCTTCAGAGCTCTGTGCTCCCTCGTGCAGTGATTAAATGTCATCTCGTCTCACCCTCACCACAAGCCTGCAACCTGGGTGCACCTCTGTGGGGGCGGGTACTCGAGATTAAACCCAGGGACCACGGAGCTCCATTCCCAGCCCTTTTTATTTTTGATTTTGAGACAAGGGTCTCACTAAGTTGCTGAGGCTGGCCTCAAACTTGCAATCCTCCTGCTTCAACCTCCCAAGGGGCTAGGATCACTGGGGTGCACCACCATGCCCGGCCTCCTGGGTACCTCTTATTGGCAGCTCACAGAGGGACGACCTGAGACTCAGAGGGTTTCAGTGATTTGCCTGAGTCATGCCAATTAGACGGGAAAAGGCATCTCAGACCATCCAATTCCAAGGTGTGGACTCTGATCTCTGTGGAAGGGTATTTGGGACATTTCTTTGGGAGATGTTTCAGAAATGGAAATATTGGACCCAAAGGGCCTGGTTTTGCTGCAGCTCCTGTCGTTAAAGGCCGTTGACGCACGGACTTACAAACGCTCTCCGTGGATCTCCTCTTCTGGCAGGTGACACATGCCACACTTCCCACACTCGTTCTTTTTGTAGCTCCCACCTCCACTCTCCCTGCCTCCTCCCCCTGCATCCCCTCGGCGACCATTTATTGTGCACCTACTTGTTTCCCAGGGCATCTAATGGTGCCACCCTCCTTTCTGGTACTCACCTTCCCCCCGGTGGCTGGTGGTCCCCGGCAGTGTTCCTGTGTGCCCCCAAGACACCTGAGGATCTGTCCCCGGAGTGTGCGCTGGCCCTGGGAAGGCCAGGGGGGCCTGGGCTTTCTTCAGTGTCTACACCTCCTCTCTCCCCAAGTCCCTCACGGGAAATCCCAGGGGCCCGGGGAAACAGGAGACCTCAGAGCCCCATCTCCTCCGTCTCTGGACCAGGAGGCTCTTCGGTGCTCTCACTCCTGCTGTGCCCAGTCCCTTGAGCTGCCCCTTCCCTCGGGGTCTTCCTCAGGCTGCCCTCGCCCAGGGTCCCGTCCAGCTCAGGGGCTTCCGCTGGGCACTGGCTTGAAGGGCTGCTCCTTCCTGGGCAGGGGGGCCCCCAGCTCCTTTCTCCTCCCCCACCCTTTCCTCTTCTTGGTCTGTCACTTTCTAAAACACAGGGCACAACTCAGGATGATTTCTAGGGACACACCAGAAACTTTTAGGCGGTGAATGAACTTAGCATTAAGTGACAGTGCGTCGTGTGGTAAAGAAAATTCAGTGATTATCCTCGGTTCCTTCTGATTCTATCAAAGAACTGGTCTATTTGCGGATGACGGTGTTCCACGCCACTTCTAACATGGTTTCAGTTGTGCTCTGTTTATTTTAACGCCATCTATTTTAAGCAAGCCCTCTAAAACACATCTTTACGTCTGGGTAGTATTTTTGCATGTCAGCCCGTGTAACTGATTCTGCATACACGAAGCCATAGCACTGCGATTCTTCAAAGCACGGCCTTTAAAAAACTGCTTCTCTTCTTCACTCTCCTCTCTGCGTCTCGCTTTCCCCCCGGACCCAACGTGAAAATCCCTCCAAGGGATCTGGGTCTGTGTCTTCCTTTATAAGAGCTGACGAGGCCCCACACTGGAAATGGAACCGCAGGTTCCCCTACGGATGGATCTTCATCCATTTCCAATTTTTTTTGTCGTTCAAAAACCTAATTATGAACATTGTTATGTCCAGGTATCTTAAGGCAGTAAAGCAAATCCACAGGTTTCTTTTCAAATACATTTAATGCATTAAAAAAAAAAAATAGAACTAACTTGAGGTTAGTTAACTTCAGGGCCAGGCAAGACGGGTAACGGGGACCAGAAGCGCCCACCTCGCCGTGGTCCTGTGTGCAGAGGCCAGGAAGGAAGGGCAGCTCAAGGTTGCTTTTGCTTGCTGTTTCAATAGCACCAGAGAACACCAAAGCCAGGCTCATGCCTTGGGAACAGGGACCGTAAAATACCTGTGACACAAAAACCAAAATGCCTGAGTAAAAACCATGTCACTCAACTGCCTTGGAGACAGCTGTCCTCGAAACTGGCAGCTGCCTGCTCTCTCTTCCCTTCGGTCAGTCAGTCGACAAACAGCACACGCTAGGGCACAGGGCTGACCTAGCCTTGGGCCCTGCCCACCTGGATTTTCTGGTCTGGAAGAACCCTTTTGTGACTTAACTTATGAGAGAATGATCCTCCACACCCAGAGAGAAAAGCAGAACTCAGTTAGAGTTCCAGTACACACAAGGTCACACAGCCATATCCTCTACTCACACACAGTCCCTCCTGCTCACCCATGTGGGTGTGCACACACATACACACACTGTAGCCAGCGCCACGATCTCCTGTCCCCGTCTTCCTGCACATATACGAATAATTGAAAGCTACTCAGGAGCTCTGGGACTGTTGCTGTGGGAACCAGAATTCTGAAATCCCAACTTGTGGGCATCTAAATTATTGCTCTGAATATTACATTCGCTGCAGAGTTGTGCTCTGAATTCTGAGCCATTTCTCCTTCAGGGTTCAGGCTGGGCAGCCAACCAGGGAGCTAGCGAGGAAGGGCAATTAAAGCCTGATTACTTCCTGTCGGGGTGATGGAGTGGCCCCGACAGCGCTCACAGGAGGGCTGTATCTGCTGGGTGTGTGTGTGAGCGCGTGTGCATGCTCATGCCCATGGGGCGTGGGTCCACGGGATATTCTAGGTGAGGCCCTGAGAATGTGCAGTAGCATGCCCAAACCTTCTGCTTCTGCTTCTGGCCAGGCCCAGATGCCCAAGACTGTGGTAACAACTACAGCCCCAGATCTTCATAGCCCAACAGAGCTCTATTCCTTCTCATACGAAACCTAGCCTGGGTCAACATCCCCTCCACCTCCTAGTGCATCTGGAACCCAGGGCATCTAATATCCCACAAGATGAAGGAGGCTCGCCTCCTCTGCCCTGCACTGGCCCGGAAGTGGACACATGTCATTCTGCCCAGATCATAATGGCCCAAACTTAAGTGTGTGAGAAACAGGGAATGCACAGGGGCTCACCTGTGAGCATGTGGGCCCTGCCACAGCCCTCCCCTCAGGCTTGCAAACTAGAACATTCTGGGTCAGAGTGGGATGAACTCCTTGGGGACAGTTCAAATGCTGGTTCTGTTGCTTGCTACTTTGGTGGCCTCAGGTCATGCACGTATTAGTCAGGGTCCCAGCAAGAAGCAGGTAGCGCACTCAAAATACAGGAGTTTGGAGGGAGAAGGAAAAGGAGCACTTACGAAAGGTCCTGTGGTAGCCAGCAGCTAGGATCAGCTGAGGTCTTATTTCCCAGGGCCCAAGAAGATAAGACCAGAATGGTTAGGAGACCCAGGAGATGGCAGAGGAGAGGTGACCACCTTGAGAGGAGTCGTGACCTTCAGATAAGGGACAGCCTGCTCAAGGGACCAGAGTAAGGGGAATAGAAGCCACAACTTCACTCGCCTCCCTTCCTTCCTACTTTGTTGGGGTTCCCCATTGGTTGAACCTAACAGGAGCCAAAAGGCCCAGGAAGATGCTGAGGTCAGCCTCCTAGGGCAGAATGGATCGTGGCTCTGGAGGTAGGAGAGGACTCTATCTGGCCTCTATCATTGGGGCCTCCCTTTCTGAATCTGTAAAATGGGACTGCTGTTGCCTCCGTTGCTTCTTTGTCAAAAGTAAATGGAGACTGTATGTGAAGACCTCACGTAGGAAAGACCCTTTGCCAGGTCAGTTTCTCAGCATCTAAAAGCACCCTGGGGTCTGTGGTTCCCAGGCCAGCATGTGCCAATTTGCCTAAAGTCTGGTATGAAATTCTCAAATTCTCCAAACAAGAATGTTTTTCCTAAATCACCCCCATTTCCCAGCTTCTGCCGTAGGCCAAGTATTTTACAGATTGTCTCACTGTAGCCTCATGATACCTTCCTAAGTGTCACTGTCAACAAACCAGGACTGGCAGAGATAGGTGAAACCACCCATCCACAGCCACACAGCCAGCAGATGGGTCTGGCCTCAAAGGCCCACACCGTTCCTCCCTGCTCTACTCCCTGCCCCCCGCCCCCCACATCTTTTAGTTGGTGCCAAGGACCACGTTCTGTCCAGAGGCCTCATATAGACAGGCTCCAGAAAGTGCCACCCTCACCCCTACCCGCCATCGGGTATCTCTGCCCCCTGCCTGAGCTCACACACCCACCATGGCTGCTGCTGGTTCTTTGCAGGTCTGCCGTCTCCAGGCCCTACAGGCCAGCTCAATACCAGCAGTGCAGAAAGCAAGGCTTTGGAGGCAGGTGAGCAAACATTCTTGGGGGTGGGGGGGTGGAGGGAGTCCGTGGTCAGCTTGTTGAGACCAAACAGGTGGACTCTTGGGGTAGTGAAAAAGGCAAAAGCAGACTTTTAGGTGAAGATCCTTGACTTCCAACAACACCACTCCTTCCTGGCCCAAGGGCTGGAGTCCACCATTAGACTCACTGTGAGATCTAAGGTCTCCCGTGTTTGGACAGTCACCAATAAGTGGCAGGCACGGGCAAGGCATGCTTTTAGCACCTTCAGGGGATTTTTTTTTGTTTCAAAAATAAGCTAAATCACTCGTGGTTGGGGTGCTGGGGTGCCCCCAGATTAGCCTTGCATTTACTTAGCACATGTTTATTAAGGGCACACTGTGTGTGGAGCACACTGGGGTACAATCCTGGGCAAAAATGGGCAGGTGGTTCCCAAAGGAAGGGCTTTGGAGTGGGAGGACCAACTTTCGCTGCAGCAGTCTATCTTCCATGTGTGACCAACCCCGTGTCAGTCCTAGGGGCCAACTTCAAGACAGTACCTGCAGAGTAGCCGAGGGGCCCCCTGGGAGGGGTCACAAGGCCCCCACTGGGCCAGGGCCCCTGAACCTGAAGTTTGCCCTTCTTTGACAAAGGGTGTCCCTAGAGACAGTGGCAAAGGAGAAATGTTTGTAGGACTGGGTGTCTGGTTCTCTGTCACTTCAGGCCTAACCCTCCTAACCTCTAGAATCGCCCTAGAGCCATCCTCCAGACGCTAAAGAGAACCAGAGAGAAGGTCAGGCTGGGAAGGGACTTGGGAGTGACCTAGCCTGGCCTTATTTTGCAGACTGGGAGGCTGAAGCCAAGAGCCCTGGAGGAGGGGTGTTGGCCAAGGTCACTCTGGGTTAGTGTCACTGCAGCTGAATTGAAAGAGGTCCCATCTTGCATCTGACACTTCCAGGGGAGCCGCTGGGGGTCCGCCTGGTGAACGGGAGCAGCCGCTGCAACGGGACAGTGGAGGTCCTGCTCGGGAAGTCCTGGCAGCCCGTGTGCGGGGCGCTGTGGGACAGCAGCGCCTCCGAAGCTGTGTGTCGCGCCCTGGGCTGCGGCGCGGCGGGGACAGCTTCCCTGCGGGTCCTTCCGACTATGGAGGTGTCTCCTGGGTCACCCACGGGGAACACCAGCCGGGCCCCGAACGTCACGCAGGCCCTAGCGCCAGCAGTCCTGTGCAGCGGCGCTGAGTGGCGGTTCTGCCGGGTGGTGGAGCGCCCGTGCAGCGGTGACGGGTGGCTGGCCCAGCTCACCTGTGCAGGTGCGTGTGCCCACCCATACCCTCAGTCACCACCCATCGCTCCAAACACTGGACCCAGGCCTTGCTCTGGAACCCCGTGAGGAGAACCGCAGGGAGCCAAATCCGAGCAAACTCCTCCCTTGCTAGTCCTCGAAGTCACCAACTGGTCCCCCTAGGGTTCCAAATCCTAATCTGGTCTGTTGCTTTCCTTACTGGGCCACCTCACACCCCTTCTTTCTATAGACAGGATCCCTTAGCGCTGCGGCTCCCCTGCCCCAGATCCCTGGCCCAGACCCCTGGCCTGCAGCTCTGCCCACGGGTGGGCAGCCCAGAGGGGATTCCCAGTCCTGCCCTCCCGGTTGCAGCCCCTCTCCCCAGGCCCACGCCCCGCCCACACCCTCCGGCCCCTCCCTTCCTGACCCCGCCCCCTCCACCCAAACCCTCCCACCCTCAGAGACCCGCGATTTGCGGTTGGTGGATGGAGGTAGCCCCTGCGCTGGCCGCGTGGAGATGCTGGAGCACGGCAAATGGGGGACAGTGTGCGACGACACATGGGACCTGGATGATGCCCAAGTGGTGTGCCAGCAACTTAAATGCGGCCGGGCAATCCAGGCCCTGCCAGGATTGCACTTCACCCCCGGCAAAGGGCCCATCCACCGAGACCAGGTGAACTGCTCAGGAACTGAGGCCTACCTGTGGGACTGCCCCGGGCTGCCAGGAGACCAGTACTGTGGCCACAAGGAAGACGCCGGCGCCGTGTGCTCAGGTCAGTGGGTCCTCAGTGGGCACATGACAGAAGGGAGTTAGTTACCCCTAACACCTCGGCCCAGTGCCCAGGTTAGTGCCGGAGAGCTGGGCCCTGCTCACAGTCCAGGAGGGGAGATGGGACCCAGACAAGGCCAGGGGGAGGTGACATCAGGGGTGGGACTCACCCCGGGTGAGAGTCGGTCATCTGGTTTGGAGCAGGAAGGGGGACTGCAGGCAGGGAGTCCTCTGAAGAGCTATTGGGCCGTCCAGGTGAGACTCCAGGTTCTGGTCCGGCCAGTGCTGCTTATTCACATGCACGAGAATGGGGGACAGACTTTGGGCAGCCAGGATCTAAAGTGTAGCATCAGGGGTCAGCCGGATGCGGGGCAGGTGAGAGGGGACCGTAGACACAGGAGGGAGAAGCCCCAGATCTGGAGGCTGGAGGGCTGCGTTCTTCTCCGCATCTGGGACCTGGAGTTTCCACCTGGAGGATCTGGACCTGACTCTGCCCCCTGCCCCTCCCCCCATAGAGCACCAGTCCTGGCGCCTGACGGGGGGCATCGACCCCTGTGAAGGGCAGGTGGAGGTGTACTTCCGAGGGGTCTGGAGCACCGTGTGTGACAGCGAGTGGTACTCCTCAGAGGCCGCGGTGCTGTGCCGGGCCTTGGGCTGTGGAACCGCGGTGGAGCAACCCAAGGGCCTGCCCCACTCCCTGTCAGGCAGGATGTACTACTCATGTGAAGGAAAGGAGGCCACCCTCTCTGACTGCTCCTGGCGGTTCAACAACTCCAACCTCTGCAGTCAGTCAATGGCAGCCAGGGTCCTCTGCTCAGGTATCCTCCCCTTGCGCACCCCATTCCACCACCAGATGGGCTAGGAGTGCCACCTGAATCTCTGTACCTAAGGGCTTGCAGCCCAAGGGCCACAGCTTAGACTGGATCCGCAGGGACCATTCCCTTACCATGCGCAAGCAGACACGGGTAGTTAATCAGGACTTTCTTTACTGCAGGTGCCCAGCTCAGTCTCAGAATCATGAATCAAATGTGTATGAAGGCATTATTGCATGCTAAGCCGTGGTCTCCACTGAAGGAAAGGAAACTTTCCAAGTTGGCTCAGGAAATGAAGCCAATTTGCTATCCCAGAGCTGGTGATCATGGGGAAAGTCACCTTAGGAGACACCAGTAATAATAGCTGCAAGAGCATCTGGGCATTGCCCAGCACTCAGGAACTCATTTTGGTCTAGCCTCATACCCAATCTATGGGGTGATATTGATCATGAGTCACAGTATCATCGTCTTACGTACCATAAAGTAAAACATTTGTTTTTTTATTTATGTGAAATCAACTGTTGACATGCTGTCAAAAGGTAATAAGGCCATCTTCCAATTTCAAAAGTATAAGTATGAAAAGCGAGATTGACACCTGAAGAAACACGGTGTTGGTATCCTCTGGAGCTCAGACACTTGATCACGGTGTGATTCTGGCTCTGCCTTGTATCAGCCAGGAAGCTTTGAACAGTCCCTTAATCTCTGTGGCTTCAGTTTCCTGAATACGTGGGCGCTGCTAGGCCTTCCATGTGGTAGCTGGGAAACCAGTCATGTCCGTCAAGGGGCCTTGTAATCTCGGCTCCTATGTGGGCAGAGCTGCTCCACGGGAGTGCAGATTATGGTAATGAGGCTAACACACAAGCATCCCATCCCCTGAAGCCCACAACTGACTAAAGACTGAATGGAAGAGGGATTTGTGGTCTGCAGCAGATTGTACAGAAAGAAGGGATAATTCTTCCGTCAGCCCCTATTCTGACCAAAGCACCTTCCCAGGGTGTAATTCATGATCCTCCTATTGCTGGGGGTGGGGGGAGGCAAGTTTCCTTAGCCATGTGTCCCCGATGGGAACACATCCTGTTCCAGGTCACTTGTCTATCTAGTTCAGATTCTAACACAGGACCTGGCACACAGGAGGTGCTCAGGAAATGTGTTGAGTGAATGAATGAGTGGTGCTTTCTGGCAGGTTCTCGAAGATTGCAGAATATCTCTACTCCTGAAGTCCCTGCTAGTGTTCAGCCAGCCACCATGGGTGAGTGCTGCTTCTTTTGGAAGCTCAGTTGCCTCTGTGGTGTGTGAGCGCGCCCGTGTGCGTGCATGAGCCTGGTGGTGGATTGGTGGTTTGTCCCCCCACCCCCACACAATGCACTTGCCTTTCTGGGCACTGTGCTCCCCTCCCTGACAACTAGACCACAGTTCACAGGAGTCTCCTCCCCGACTGCTGTGACCTCTTGCTGGGCTGAAGACCCCGGGGTCCTGTAGTCCTGATGCCCTCCAGTGGGGGCACTCCTGGAGCAGCCAGGTGGTAGGCTGCTGAAGGTACCAGCCAGGGTGTGGGTCAGGTTCCAGGCACTGCACCCAGTGCCCCGTCACCCTTATTTCCAGGCCTGTACTCCTCCTGGCAGCTCAGTGGGAGCCGTCTCCTAACCCTTGCACGGAGGAAGGAAGAAGCGAGGCTCAGAGGCTGAGTGACAGCCAGCGGTGTTGCCCAGAACTGGCACCCGCAGCTCTAATGCCAGACCTAGGCTTGGACTGTCTGCCAGCTGGGTGCAGCTTGGGGAGTATCAGAGCAGACTCCTGGGGTTCAAATCCCAGCTGTGCCTCTTGCTAGCTGTGTGACACTGAGCAATTCTTAACCTCTCTGCCTCAGATCCCTGAGTACAGGGGGTAATAATCACAGTTCCCCTCCCCTAATGCTGAATTGATTTTTACCGAGCACTAGCACAGGGCCTGCACTGGGGGAGCACTGCCAGCCGTTCTTATGATTATCTAGTGCAGGCAGACAGCCCCTGGCAGCCCTGGGCTACCCCAGAGTACCTTCCCCTCCCGCCTGGGTCCCCCTCACCGTCTCAGACACCCCAGACAGGGCTCATGGAGAGAGCAGAGGGGCACAGTCCTGCTGGAGGCCCTGGTGGTGGGCGAGGGGCTCAGGAGGGAGTGAGATGCTGGGAACTGCACAGGCTGCAGGGGGGTACCTGCGGACCCCCAGCACTCCTGTTTCTTCCCGAGGTCAGGGTGGGGGGGCCACGCCTCCCCTAAAGAGCAGAGAGAGCAGCCTCCCAGGTCCATGCCCCCAGGACAGCCCTGACCCTGATCCATCAGCTCATCTCCCTGAAGCCCCCCAGCCCAGCTTCCACCCTGGCCCCCACTGCCACGCAGCAGACCCACAGGGAGGGAGAAGTGAGGGCAGGTGAATCCCAGGCACAGAAGGTAGATCCAGCTTTCCTGGTGGCTTGGTCACGGCCAGGGGTGGCTCAGTCACCTCTCCAGGAAGTCAGCCTTGGTTGCCCCCACAAAAAAATAAGGTGGTCTTGGTAGGTCCTCATGTCCCCAAGTTCTCTGTCCTTACCTCCATCACAGCACACATCTCACTATGTGGGAATGGATCTCTGTTGATCTCCCTCTAGAGAGCCCTAAGGAGATCTAGACAGCCTCCCGAGGCTTTTAACACTGGTATCTTAACTGCCATCCCCGGGATTCAGTGCCTGGTACGCAGTGGGTGCTCAATAATTAATTGTCTATTGAGCAAAGACTAAGGACCAAAGTCTTGCAGAGAGTGTCACCGGAGGAAAGTTTTTGGGCAATAAATTCATTGAGTCAATTATTCATTAACATGCATGTATTGAGCAACTACTGTATACCAGGCACTTAAAGGGAGGAGAAAGTTAGGTGGAAAGGGAGGTGGCTCTGCTGTGGGGAAAATGAAGAGGCAGGCAGAAGGGTGGAGAGTCGCCTGGGCCACTCCTTTCTCGCTCTGAATGGAGCCCTTATTTCTAGGGTCGTCTGTGACAGTGAAGATGGAGGACTGGGGGTCCCGGGAGCTGACGCTCCTCATCCCCTGCATCCTCCTGGCAGTTCTCCTCCTGGTCTCCCTTATCTGCATGGCTGTCATCCTCTTGAGAGTTAAAGGGAAATACGGTAGGTGGCTCGCAGCAGGGCACAGCAAGTGTGGCCCTCCCAGGGGCACAGGAGCCTCCGAGGGACCCCAGCAGGAGTGGCATGATCCAGCAATGGCCACCCAGACCCGCCCCTGGGGAGCTCCTCCTGGTGATGGGAAGGATTTTCCCAGCATGCCTAGAGGAAGCGCCAGACCAGATGGGTGTGTGTGTGTGTGTGCGCGCGGGTGTGTTCGGGTGTGTGCGTGCCTGCGTACAGGTATGTGTGTGCCTCTGTACTGGGGTGTGCAGGGAGCATGAGGAGGAGGTGTCTCACTGAGACCAGAACCTGGAAGACAGAGAGGGCAAAAAATGACGTGTAGACTCTCTGCCCGCCCTCCCTCAGCCCTCCCTGCTCCAGCGAACCAGCAGCACCTTCCCACCACCATCCCAGCAGGGAGCAATAGCTACCAAGCGGTCCCCATCACCATCCCCAAAGAAGAAGGTAGGCTGTCACCCACCTGGTGGGGCGGGGACAGGAAGGGTCGACTTTCTGGAAGGTCGGTACCACCCAGGTCTAAGCAGGACCTGTCTGGTAGGAGACGTGGGCAGGTCAAGTCCCTCTCTGGCTTGGAGGACAGATGACATGCCAGTCCAGTCCTCCTGGGACTCCAGGCTTTCCAGTTCTGGATAAACGTGGGCCACGGACACTTGGGATCGTGGTTCTCAGAGGGAACCTCTGCTCTACTAATTGGTTCGTCCCTTTGTGATCCTGGCGCCTCCTGCACGATCCTGCCCCAGCAGCTGCCCTGCAGAGCCCCATCTAGATTCTCCGGGGACATGATTTTATTTCATATTTTCTGACTAAAGATGATCGGATCAGTTGTCTCGATTAATTGGATCAATTACCCCTTGAAAGGCTTGCCCAGGAGTTTGAGTTGAATCATTTGCATTCTGAGCAGATCCGATCACCTTAATTTGCCATGGAAAGCAATAGAAAACTCAGCCACACATTAGGAAGATGATTTGGAGTATCCATGTATTTGAGAAAAAGCTATAATAGAGCGTGGCACCCACTGAGCCCATGGAATAGTACCACCTATAATTTAGAACCAGGTAGCCTGCTTCCCTGGGCAGGGGGAGAACCTCTCTGTGCCTCAGTTTCTTCAGCTATAAAATGGGGTTGATAATGTCCCTATTTTGCTGAGTTATTATTATGAAGGTTAAATGAGCTCATATTTGTACATGTTAAATATGTTAAAATAGTGCCTGGCACATGGTATCATCTAAATGAATAAAAGCCGTTTCGTTCTCCATATTTGACATGGGGGAGGACCTTGGCAATCGGGGTAGAGGGTCCTGTACAAGATGGACCACCTGGCGCTCTTCCTGCCACCCATGCTCTGGGCACCCCCATGTCCTCCTGCCCACCGCATGGCCTGTCCTCCACCCCCGGCCCTGCTCTGTTCTCTTCCCAGTTCCCAAGCTGCCCATCCAAGTCCGGGTCCCGCCCCCCGAGGACTCGGACTCCAGCTCGGACTCCGACTATGAGCACTATGACTTCAGCTCCCAGCCTCCCATGGCCCTGACCACCTTCTACAGTGAGTGCAGGGCCACCTGGCCGCCTCGGGAGAAGCCCCGGCTGATCTGGGACCCTCAACCGGCCTGGCTGGGCAGAACGGCCCTCGTCACCCACCCGAGTGACTGCCAGTGGCCCTGCGCTCAGGTTTTCAGTGCCTGTGACCCCGGAGGGACTTGACTCCCACCCCTGTCTCTGGCCACGCAGGGTCTCAACGCCACAACCAGGCCCTGGACATTCCCCCGAGGGGCCGTCTGTGTGAGGAGTGGGAGGTGCAGGCGGGGGACGCTGGGATGCCCCTCTGGCCTGCCTGGCCCCTCACCCTCTCTGTGACCCTCCACGGTCCTGCCTGCTCCGGCTCCTCCCCTGCCTGCTGGGATTCAGAGAAAATGGCCCCCACCGCAGGGCCAAGGTGGTGCTGGGGGTGGGTGGACCAGAGGACCCCACAGGTCTTAAAGAGTCACCTGGAAGCCTGTTAGACATTCCCAGCTTCTGCTGTTGAGTTGCGATGGGAGTTTGTCTGTTTACGACAGAGACCCCCGAAAGGACTGGGCCCTGAAAAACAGGCGGCTTTCTAGCTGCTCTGCAGTCCCTAAGACGTCACTCCTGTCCCCACTGTCCCCTTGGCCACGTTCACATGGCAGCCTACAGGAAAAGCAAGGAGTCGCAGCCTCTGTGCCCAGGCTGAGACTGCGGGCTGCAAGATAGGCAGGCACTGGCCACCACCCGGCCAGCATGTGTCCAGACCCAGGCCAGAGGGGGAAGGCGGCAGGGGAGCAGGCAGCCAGCCCCGCCCGCCTGCTGGCTTGGCCTCCAGGGAAGGGTGGGAGGTGCCACGTCTGGGAGCCCCAGGAACGAGTCCTCAGGACCCGGGACTCTGAGCTCAGGCACGTAGGGCACACACGGAGTCCCAAATCCTGTGACACTGGGACTAAAGTCAGTGGTGCTGGGTTCCAGGACTGGCTCCTGTCCTGGGTGCTTAAGACTGGACCTCCGTCCGTCTGTCTCACTGTGAAACAGAAGGTGCCCCAGGGTCTGTGACAGGATCCTAGCCCATGGCTTCTGCTGGGGACAGGTTCCTCCCAGGGCCCCATCAGTCCGTTTCTGGAGCCACCAGGTCCCAGGAGGAAACCCAGGCTCGACTTTTCCCAAAGTGGTGGGAGGCGCAGGGCACTCGGGCCAGAAGCCGCCTGTCTCCGGGCTGGCTCCGGCCCTGGACTGAGGTCAGCAGTCGGCCTGGACCAGGGCGGGGGCTGGAGCCCTGCAGGAAAGGCCGACCCCCCTCTCCCCATGGTGTCCCCCCAGAGAACCGCAGCCTCCTCCCAGGCCCTGAGACAGGGGGGTGAGCCTTACCCCTCCCCACTGCCACCTCTGCTTTTTGCAGATTCCCAGAGGCACCGGGTCACGGAGGAGGAGGCCCAGCAGAGCAGGTTCCAGATGCCCCCTTTAGAGGAAGGTGAGTCTGGGTGGGGGTCGTGGTGAGGTGGTGGGTGGGACGCCGACCTGGCCTCAGCCTCAGGAGCTCAGATCAGCTTGAGACACACCGGCAGCAACCTCCCTCCGTGGAGGGGCCCTGACTTTAACCATTCCTATAGGCAGTAAGTTCTTTCTGGAGTCTCATTAAGGCCCTCTTAGTATGTTGCTTCCTCTTTCCTCATCATTCTCTCTCTACCGACGCAGGGGCTGAGGAGCTGCATGTTCCCCACGTCGTCCCAGCAGCCATCCCCGCACACCACTTTGCAGACCGTCCCTCTCTGGTCCCCCAGTTTCACCCAAGGATCAACAGTGGGTCCAGCACATCTTCTGGGGAGGATTACTGCAACAGCCCCAGCACCAAGCCGCCTCCGTGGGACCCCCGGGGGTTTTCTTCAGAGAGGAGCCCCTTCCAGGAGCAGCCCCCCAACTTGGAGCTTGCTGGGTCCCAGGCAACTTTTGCAGGTAGCTGTGTGTCCCCCTGTCTTGCATCCTGTAGCCAGCCTGGCTAGAGGAAGCATAGAGTGGGAGCCCTGAGCCAGGCCAAGTTCAGGATTCCAGTTCCAGATCAGCAGCGATTTGCTGTGTTACCTTGGACAAGTGTCCTCCTCACTCTGGGCCTTCATTTCCTTACTTGTCACACTGGGGTCTTGGTACTCCGGAGGGCCTTCCAGCTCCAGCAGTTCAGGAGCTGGCTGTCTCCTGGCAGAGGGTCACTGGTCCTGTGGGTCCCATCAGGGCCCTCGGTTGACGACAGTTCCAGCACCTCATCTGGCGGAGAGTGGTACCAGAACTTCCAGCCGCCACTTCAGCTCCCCTCGGTGGAACAGCTCCCCTTGGTGGAACAGCTCGAGTGCCCAGGTGCTGGGCAGGGGGAGGGACCCTGGGAGAGGGGACGGAGAGAGACTGGGAGTGAATGAGTTGGGTGGGGCGGGCTCTGGATTCACTGGACCCATCAGCCCAAGGGGGAAAGGGAGGAAGGCGGGGGAAGGAGAGGGGTGCTGATCCGCAGTGAGCGAGAGGCTTGTGAGTGAGCTCCTTTTGGGGCCGGGATTCAGGCAGAAGCAGCAGGTCGGCCCTGGGCGCAGCCTGCCTGGACCCCAGCCTCAATCGACAGGCAAGGCTCTGCCCTCGGCCGAACCCTGGCCCCGAGGTGCAGTGAGGACGCGGGTCCAGACCTGCTCACTCCGTCCTGTGGGGCAGCAGGGCAGTGACTGGGCCTCCTGCCTGTCCCCACAGGGACCCACAACCCCCATCGGGACTCCACCGACCAGGAAGACTATGACGACATCGGAGCTGCCTAGCCTGGGTCCAGCCCGCCTCCAGGGAGGGCCCCGCTCTGCCCTCCTGCTCCCCTCTCCCTGCCTTCCATCAATCCCAGGGGTCCAGGCCTTCCCTGGGGAGGTGGAAGGGGACGTCCCTGAGCCCCGGAGTCTCCGTCCATCCAGCAGACGACCCCAAACAGTAGCCCCAATGGGGGGGCGGCCCCGGAGCGTGGGCTCCCTCTCAGGGTGAACAAGCAGGCCTTGGGCCATCTCTCCGCAGCTCTGGAGGGTGGTGCTGGGTGATCCTACCCTTGGGTGTCGGGGCATTGATTTCCTGAGCCTCAGGTAGCTCAGAGGTACTAAGAGTGGCAGAAAGGGCTCATCCTGATGCCACCCACAGAGGCCCTGGACTGGGATGGCTGAGCACAGCACCCTGAGAGGTGGGTGCCAGCCACACACACTGGCTGAGCCAGGCCCTCACTCGCTGTGGTCACTGCACTGCGCGGCCAGCTGTCAGCAAGCAGGATGACCATGCGTCCCACCTAAGAGCCAGGGCCTGGGGCCAGTCCTGCCTCTGAGACTACCACGGACCCAGGCGGTTCTGCTGTGCCCATCCCTGGACACTGATCCTTATTCTGAGCTTCTTATGGTTTATGAGAACTTGGGGGCCCAGTCCCCATCGGGGGAGGGGAACAGAGATGATTTCCAGGAAGGGCCCAGAGACTGCACCAAGCCCCGGGTGAACCAGAGAATATGCAGCGCCACGCTGAGAGCCCCACGTGTCCAGGCAGCCTCGAGAGGCTCGGCCAGGCCTTTGGCCTCCTGTGCTGATGATCCTGAGATTAAACTGAAATGCTGAATGAAACCAGGACGTGGAGTGAGAGTCCTTGACCTCGGCCAGGCCCAACCATGTGCGTGGGAGCATGCGTGTGTGCGTGGGGTCGCCGCAGATGAGGAGAGGCCAGCTGGGGCCTTTATCTAGGGAGTGTCCAGGGGACACCAGCAAGAGCGGGAGGAAGACGGGGAAGGACCGAGAAAGTGTTCTTGAACAGGCTGATGTTGTGGGCAAGTGCCCTGCTGAGTACCGGGTCTTAGGACTGTCCCGCCAAGGGCAAGGGAGCCGGGACACTGGTCCCCCACCTCTGCCTGCCCTCGGCTTAGGGGCCACCAACCCCCTCTCGCCCACCCCCAGTACCCCCAGCTGCCGTGTATGGGGTGAGCTGAGCCTGCCCCAGGGTCCAGAGGCACTGCCACCAGCACAAGGCACACCTTCTGGGGTGACTGTGCCGCGCAGGGCGCTCTGCGCGTGGGTGGGCGCGGCTCGCATTGGGTGTTGGGTGCGGGCCAAGCAAGAGGCAGCTGTTAACCATTTAAGCAACGAGGACATGTGAGTGAGGGCACCGTGGAGGATGTTTGGGACACAGGTGCTGTGCTGAAAGAGCCCCCCTGCGTCCCCAGGCCAAGGGACTGCACACCGCCCAGGAGGGGTGGAGCGGGGCTGGTGGGGACAGGACTGCAGCCCTCTGTCCACTCAGTGGGGATGGAGGGGACAGGGTCACGGGTGCCCGTGCTGGGCAGCGGGGCGGGGCCTGCCTTCCGTTTGAGTCCCAGGGGTGGAGAGAAGGCCGGCGCTCCCCAGGGCAACCGTCACAGGATGTGGTTTCCTGTGATGGGCCCCCCTGGGCCAGCGGGGGATTCCTAGGGGAGGAGCCACGGTGCTGTGGGCGGGGCCGGTCTCCCGCGGAGCCGGGTGAAAGCCTGTTATGTTAGACCACGGGTTCAATGCCCTGCTCCATCCTCTCCTGGCTGTGTGTCCTCGGGCAAGCCACACAACAACTGAGTGTCTCCTTGCTGTACATTTGTCTGTAGGGTGTGCACGGCAGGAGAGCGCAACTCCAGGTGGTGGAGAGGGTCAGAGGTTTGAGAATGAGTGTCCCCTCTCATTGGTAGACCAAGAGGATGAGCGAGAGACCTCCTTAGAAGGAGGAAGGGGAGGGAAAGAGAGACACGCTGAGGTTTGGGGGCCGAGGGACTTGTCCAGGTCACTGAGTTAAGAGCGGAGTCCCAGTTCTGCCCTGTCCCCACCCTCAGAAGGACCTCAAAAACCTTCAGGTCCACTTCTCCCACCTCGCCAGAGCTGCCCGCCTCAGCAGAGACACCCCCAGGCACACAGGGCCAGAGAAGGAGAAACTCTGACACCTGTCCCCTGACACTCCACTCCCTCGACAGTCTGGGGACACAGGCTGAGGCGGGGTAAGGGAACCGAGGTCCAGAGGGTGACCACAAGGCCTACGGAAGAGGATGAGATAGGAATTTGGGACTAGAGGGACAGACTGAGTCTCCAAGGAGGTGCCCCCAAAGTGTTAAAATCAGGAAACACCAGGGAACCTCTGAAATGCAGAGCACGCCCACAAACC